TCTGTGCTACTGAAAGATCAATTTCAGAGACTGGGAAGGGCCAGAAGGGGGAGGGGCTGGAGGACGACTAAATGGATTGGTTTGAAGAAGGAAGGAAAGGGGAATTGGGAGAAAACCCAACTCGGGACCCTCGGTAGGGAGCCAGGTACGGGGCTGTGCCCTGAGCCCAGGCAGTCAGTCAGCCAGAATGTGGCCCCTGGCCGGTGGCACTCACTGGGGAATCGGGATGGGGTGGGCAAAGCGGTGACAGAGAGAGCCTGTGCTCCTCTGCCCCTCCAGGTCCACAGAGTGATCAAATCAAACCTCTCCAGACTTAGCCATTGCAAGTAGGTTTTCAGGAAGCGAGAGGATTGTAAGTGGGGAACAATGCCAATCACAGCAGCATTATCCCAGATTATAAAGCTTCCAAGAGGCGGCTCGCTCCTCCAGGCGTGCTGTGCCTGAAATTTCCAGGGGAGGCTTGGGATCCAAATGACTAGGCTGCCTGAAACTGCAGCGGGTGTGGGATGCCAGGTGGGGCCTGGCTCCACACCTCTACTGACTTGTTTCCATTTTCCCAAGGAGATAGACCACCGTGGGGGGTTGGGGGTGGGGAGCAGGAGGATACCCCTAGTTCCCACAGTTCTGAGAAGTGTAAGGCTGACAGGCCTTCTCTGAAGGAAATTTGTTCCGTCATGGGCTTCCCCAGCCCTGGGTGCACCTGAGTCCCTCTAAGGTTCTTTCTGTCCCCCTCCCTGCCCCGGCACCCCCTCCCCCAACCTACAAAGGCAGTGGGTATGCACCCAGTTGGAGCCAGCCCAGCGCTGTCCCTTCTGAGCCATAGGACCTTTAGCCAGTCAGTCTCTTTGGATCCTCTGCTTTGGTAAAATGGGGAGACAAGCCCCTTACTTCTCAGGGCGCTTTCAGGATTAAATGAGATATTGCAGATAAGTAGCCCGAGGAATAGACACCAGTACAACCTCCGTGCGTGCCGATTTGGGAGTGCCTGGAAAAGCAGTACCTGTCCACACCCTGACAGGTTTGCAGGTGCGTCCAAGGATGGTCCCTGCAGCCCCCTCCGGGGCGTCAGAAAACTGTGAACATCGGAAAAGGCCATTCTAGGATCCTGATTAAACTAGGGTCCGGGTCCCGCAGAATCCTGGCTGGGAGCAGAGGCGGGCAGATCTGACGTGCTGTCACTACAGACCCCCACCACGTGGCATGAACAAAGCCAGCGCCACTCACATCCGCAGAAGGATGCCACCTAAGCTTTCCGGAGTCCACGCAAGGACTGTATATCTCAGATGAGTTTTGTACACATGCATATATGTATGTAGATGCAGTAAAAACAGCCCGGAAGAAAACACACCCAAAGGACTCAGTGGTCACTCTGAGGAAGGGGTTGGGATGAAGAATTTGCCGTGTCAAGAGCATCAGAGGGAATTCCACTTTGCTGTAGTTTGTTTTACTGCGATATGCACTCACCTCGCCTGTGGAGATTCACACATTTAAAAATCCGTGCTGACACCGAGCACAGAGGGCAGGGCCTGACCCGTGCCCTGGAGGCTGTCGGCTGTCGTTACAACTGCAGATCAGAGGCCGGGAGGAAGGAAGGTGTCTCGGTGCTTCATGCCCATGTCCCCAGTTCTTGGAGTCTGGGTTCAGGAATGCGGAAGCCCCTCAGGTGGACAAGTGACATCCCCTCGCATCCAGGAGGGACAGAGAGAGGCCACTCCGTCAGCCAGCCTAGCTGGGCCAAGGCCACAGCCCACCTCTCCTAGCTGAGCAGTCTGCCAAGAAAACTATTGAACTACATAAAAATCCATCCTGGAAACCCCAGAGGCATCCTTAGAATGCAGCGTGGCCTTTAAATTAGAATGTAAAAAAAAAAAGGCAAATTTGCCTGTAACTTGATTTCAGGTTAGTGAAGGCCGGTGGCCAAAAAGCAGTAGCTGTGCCTGGCAGGGCACCCCCCGCCCTCTGCCAAGGTCCTGTGATGTTGGCTGTGAAGGTGGGGTTCCCTGTGCAACCCGCACATGTTCCCATGGAAACTCTGCTTTGCAGAATCCTCTGGAAATTGTTACTGAGGAGGGGCCACCGCTTCCCACACCCACTTTGCAGTTTGGTTTCCAGGGATGGCTTTCTCGGCAAGTGCCGAGGGGAGCAGGAGCAGAGGCAAGGCGGGCGGCTGAACCCCCCAGAAGGACAGAATGGGCCAGTGAAGGCGGAAGGTGTCAGAAGTCCTGACATGTTTCAGATGCCCTGAGACTCCGAAGAGGGTGGCAGGGCATGACCTAGGAGAGATGGTGGGAAAGAGGGTACAGCAAGGTCAGGCCAGGCAGAGAAGCACCCTCTGGGACCCCGTTCGGTGGGGCCTTGGGGCCAGGTTCAGGCAGGAAAGCAGCGCCTGAGGCCCGGCCCTCGGGCTGCCTGGGGCTTCTCCCAGCAGTTCTAGCCCAGGGTCCACCCTCGGGAAGGCTGCCATCCGCCCTTAGGATCTAAGGCTCCCCTTCTCCTGGGTCTCACTTGTTCCCCATCAGGCTTCCTTCCCTGGGGCACTCTCTCCACTGTTGTCCTTGTCCAGCCTCCTGAGGCCACACACACACACACACACCCCTCTCTGCTTGCCCTGCCTCCCCTCCCCAGGTGCTCCCTGCAGGGGGGCAGCCACAGAGCCTGGGTCCCCGCCCCCAGGAGGCCTGCCCCTCATTTAGCAGACCCCTCCACACTGCCTCCTGGCAGCCTGCTTTTCCTGAAGCATTCGTGGTATACCGGGTACCCCGCTGAGCCTGTGCGGAGCAGGGAGTTCCCCATCTGTCCTCTGAGCCTGCTGAGCGGTCTTGATTGTCACTGAAACCCAGGTCCAAGTAGACACCGCTGCTGAGAGGTGGAACTGGGGAGGCCAGCAGCCACCCAGCCCAAAACTGACCTTCTTGGGGGTTCCTCTCCTCCCTTGCACCCATTCAAAGTCACACCTAAATCTGCCTGTAAGGAGCTCTCTGTCCCCTCCTCCTCCCTCACAGCCAGCTGCACCCCGGGGGTCATCTGCCACCCCTGCCCCTGCACCAGCCCATCTCCATAGGCTCTTAGTCCTGGGGGTGGGGAACAGGTGCTCCACACCTGCAGTCCCAGAACACTCTCCCCCAACCCTCCCCTGGTCAAAGCCCGTCCGCCCTGCCCGTCCACCCTTCCCGTCCTCCCTGCCTCTGCTCTTGCTCCCAGGAGAACCTCCTGGCTCCACAGCCTGCCCTGAACCAGGCTCGGCTCCCATGCTGGCATGTCTGCATCCGCAAGTGACCGGTGGTCCCCAGGGCCCCATAAGCCAAGTGCGGTGGGAACTGCGGAAGGTTTTGAGCACAGGGAGGGACAGAACCCACGTGGAGAAGACAGTGTGGGGACAGGGCAGCATGCTGGGGCCTGGACCGGGGCATGTGGTGCTATCTGCCAGGCTCCCCTCTCTGCCCCAGGGGCCAACTGGAAAAGGTTGATTTCCAGCCTGAGGGTCTTGGGTCCGAGGGCTGAGGACGAGACCCAGGCCCAGCGAAGTGGCCTCCGCCCAGTCGTGCTGGCTCTGGGTCTCCTCGGGGCGGGGGGGGGCTCATTGCACCCTGACAGCCGTCTCCCCTCACCCCACCCCACCCTGCCCTGCCTCAGGCTGCTGGAGTCAGGAACCTGGACAGCCCTGCTCAGGGCAGCTTCCGCCCGCAGACAGGCCCGGAGTCCACTCCAGCCCCCGGAGCGGAGGCCTCTCCACCCGCCTCGGCCTCGGCGGCCCCCCAGCCCTGCTGGCTGTGTGCGCGCAGGCCGGCCCAGAACCGAGCTGGGAGGCGGGGACTGCCCCCTGGGCCCAGAGGCTCCTCCCACCTTCTCGGGGGCGGGGCTTCTTCCAGAAGTCAGTCTACACCCACCTCCGCCCCCCATTTTCTGTCCCTGAGGTGAGGGGCCTGTGCTGCCCGAGCTGTGCTGCCAGGCCCCGGCCCCCCACCCTTCCCATACATTTGGGGTTTGTGTGTGAGGGCACCTCAGGGACCTCTGGCTTAGCGGAGGGTGGGGGCGGGACGGAGGATTGGCTGGTCCATTCCACAACCATGGGGGGCGGGGGAGGGGGGAGAGCTGACCGGCGGGTGAGCTGGACCCTTACTTCCTGACTCCTGTGAAGCGGGTCTCCACTCACCGGGAGGGGCTGCTGTGGGGGTGAAACGGGGACAATGGGAGCACTTTGAGCAGTGGAAAGGGCACAGGGTCAGCACGGAGGGACTGTCGTCCACACGGGTCTGAGCTTCTGCAACATGAAGGGCCCCCTCTATCCAGCCAAGGTGGCCCAGGCACCAAACCATGTAGCTAAACCACATGGAGAGAGGGGGCCTGGAGGCAGCTGGGACTGGCCCTGGGCCAGGAGGGAAGGGGCTGTCCTTCATCCCCAAGGGGCCTGGGCTGGGCTGATGCAGAGAGATAGAGGAGGTGGGTGCGGTCAGGATGGGCCAAACAAAGGGCCTTTGGGGGTCTGGGCCTTAGGGTGGAAGGAGGAGCAGCTGAGGCCCAAGAGTGGAGAAGGCTTGAGAGGCAGGGGGTCACGAAACAGTTGGCACAGTACGTACAAAGGACCAGGTGGAGCCCGGCCAGTGTGGCTCAGTGGTTGAGCGTGGACCCTGCACCAAGAGGTCGCCGGTTCCATTCCCAGTCAGGGCACATGCCCAGGCTGTGGGCCCGATCCCCAGTGGGGGGTATGCAGAAGGCGGCCAATCAATGTTCTCTCTCATTGATGTTTCTCTCTCTCTTTTTTTAATCCTCACCCAATGTTTTTTTTTGCATTTATTATCAGCAGCAGAGAGAGAAGGAGGAAGAGAGAGAGAAAAACATCAACGTGAGAGAGATACATCGAGTGGTTGCCACCCACATGATCCCAACCAGGGCCGGGAACAAACCACAACCGAGGTACGTGCCCTTAGTGGGAACCGAACCCGGGACTCTCAGTCTACAGGCCGACGCTGTAACCGCTGAGCCAAACCGGCCAGGGCCCATGTTTCTAACTCTCTCTTCCCTCTCCCTTCCTTTCTCTCTAAAATCAATAGAGAAAAAAATGTTGAAAATAAAAAAACAAAGGACCAGGTGGAGGGAGACAACCTTGGGGTCCTTGTTGGGGGGCAGAGAGCATCAGGTTGTTCAGCTCCAAACATCGATGTGAGAGAGACACATTGAGTGGCTGCCACCCACATGACCCCAACCAAGGCTGAGAACAAACTGCAACCGAAGTACGTGCCCTTAGCAGGAACTGAACCCGGGTCTCTCTGGTCCATGTCCGCGGGCTGACACTCTAACTGCTGAGCAAAACCGGCCAGGGCATATAGCCGTTCCTTTATTCATCCTCTTTCTGCGAACACAGCACTGACAAGGGTCCCTGCCAGGTCCCTCCTGTGGAGCTCCCAGTCGGCCTTGTAGGCTGCGGTACAGTCTGGTGCCAAGAGAACCCAGCGGGTGAGGAGGGCTCTGGGAATGGGTGGGATCCACAAGAGCCCTTGGAGACAGGCCGGGCCCGCCTGGCAGAGGGAGCAACATGGACAAAGGCCTGGAGACGACAAACACAGTGGGTGCACCTGGCATAGAATGGGGTGGGTGTAGTCCGAGGCAGGAAGGGCCAGGAATGTGGGGGTGAATGCTGAGCGCCCCTGGGGCCTCACTCTTGGTCCAGATCAAGTCCTCTGGAGGGAGGGGCTGCCCCAGGGCTCTGATCCGCGGCCAGACCTACGGGCAGGCGGGGCTCATCCTAGAGGTTTTCATAGACCAGGTTAAATTCACTGTCATTCTGAACTCCACGCTGCTTCTCCTGGGGGGAAAAACATGAAAAATAATAGGCAGAAAAAGGAACAAACTTGTACTGATCCAGTTTTAGTCAGAGGTAAAGAAACTGATGGCTTCCTGCACAGCTGTGACAGGGAAGCCTGTCCTTGTCCCCGGCCCACGGTGCCAGCCACCTCTCACCGCCTTAGTCGGCTCCTGCCCCATGGGCTTCCCCTTCCCTGCCTTGGGGCCTCCCCGCTGTCTTCCCTCTGCCTGGGCTGTTCCTTCAACCCCACCTGTTCCCAGAAACCTCCTACTCACCCGGCAGGGCTTGTTAGCATCCCCGAGAACCCCCTCCCTGGCCCCGGTCTGTCCCGCTCCAGAACCCACTTCTCAGACGGGCCACAAATGCCTCTGGGTGTTTGTCAGGTCAGTGCCCTCTTCCCGCAGCGCTGGAGGGCAGGGACATGTCCTACCACCCTGGCCAGCACCCCGAGGCTTGGCAGAGGGCAGGCGCTGCCTGGGATGGCCCCGGCATCTTTGGGGGTCCCAGGATGGGGAAGCCGTGCTTCCAGTCAAGGCCTAGTTCAGGGATGAGTTTGGAAAGGGCTCTGAGAACGGAGATCACCAGACAGTGCCAGCCTGGGCCCCTGGGCCTGGGAGACCGAGCACCAGCCCCTCTCCCTTCCCGACAGCTCTTCCAAGGTGCCCATGGGCCTACCCACCGCCCATCGTTCCTGTTTCCGCTTAACAGACCCTTGTGCTTTTTGGAGTCCCAATCCCTGTCGTAGATGTTACTTAACTTGGCATTCATCTGAGTTCAGGGGCACTCGGTTTTGCAGCTGAGTGCCACTCATCCACTTTACAGATGAGCAAACTGAGGTTTAAAAGAGAATCGTGATTACGTGAAATGCCGTGGCCCCCAGCGTGATGACAAAGGAGCCCTGACGAGGCCAGCCCAGGCCGCCACCAGCTCCGACTTCAGCCGCCACCAGCTGGGAGCAGCGGGAAGCCTCACACCCTCTGACCGGCCAGTGCAGACACCACACTGTGCCCAGTGGTAGTGACGATGGCTCACGTTGCATGGGCGCCGACTGGGTCCCACGGCAACATTTGGGGTGAGTGCTGTCTGGCTCCTCAGTTCACTGCTGGTAAGGGGTGGAGTCGGGGTTCCAGCTACCTCGGGAGAGGGCTCCGACTCAACAGCAGGGCTCACTCCTATAGTCCTACTTAGCCCCATGTCACATACAAGGAGCGGGGTAGACGGAACCGAGGGGGAGCCAGGCTGGCCGCCCAGCGCCCCGCATACCTGGGAGAGAAAGGTCCCACTGGAGGGTAGGCTGCTGGCCTCGTTCTGCATGGAGGCGTAGACCTCAGTCTCCCGGCGCTGCAGGGCCTGCAGAAGACGGCGGGAGGGTCAGAGACGTGAGCAGAGGGGCCGGGCCTGGCCCAGCAGCCCGCGGGAGCTCAGAGGACCCGCAGACCCTGTGGGCTGTCGCCTGCAAGAGGACGCCCTCCTGGCCCAGCCACATTAGGCCTGGTCACACTGCCCCACCTGCGTACCTGCCAGTCCCTCTCTGGGAGCCGCCTCACCCTTCCCCGTGTGTACAGGCTGACTCCTCTCTGTGTCCCTGCCACCTCCCTCAAGGCTCCAGCCAGCAGATCCAGCCATGACACCTGTGGCCGTAGCTGCAGTGATGCCCTCCTGACGTCCACCCTGGCCCCAAACCCCTGCCCTGTGCAGCCCCACCCACCCACCCACACCCTCTAGATCTCCCTTGACCCCCCAACCCAGCTGGCACTCACAGACGACCCGGGTACCCACTGGGGTCACACCGCTCTCCCATCAAGCTCTACCTGCTTTGCCTCTGAGTCTCTGAACCTATGGCTGCGCTTGGCACACTTGGAGAACAGCACCGAATGATGTGATGAGGGGGCTCCTTGCTCACCTGGGTGTGTGTTCTGGGGTCACATCCACTGTTGGCCCAGCTATGGGCAGCCTGACCAGAAGCCTCAGGTTGAGAGAAAGAACCTGAGCTTTGAAATCGGATAAGACTAGGTTCAACTCTTAGCTCCGATACCTACCAGCCATGGTCAACCCCTGAACCTCTCTGTGCCTCAGTTTCCTCCTCTGCAAAATGGGAATAATCACATCTATCTTGCAGGCTCAATGCATGATTCAATGAGATTGTGTGCATGACGGGCCCAGAACAGGGTCTGGAAAACAGTAAGTGCTTAATAACTGTCGAATCATCATCAGTTGAACGATCATCAAAGGAGGCTTGACACCTCCCTCCCCTTTCTGTGGTCACTGCCTGGACCCTGTTTTGGGACTGTCAGAGCCAAGCCACCAGCCTAAGCAAGAGGCAGGAACCTTTCCTTCCCACATGTACATGTCATAGGGATTCTGGCTGGTTGCCAAGGAGGTGGTTTCCCTGGCAACAGGCAAGCAGGGGTTGCTGAGGCAGGCTGGAGAGACAGGTGGTGCTCCAAGGCAAGAGAAGGGGGAGATGCAGAGGGGGGAGGAGGCACCGAGAGGTAGCAGGGCATGAAAACCCATGTAATAAACCACTTGGCTCTTGGGAGACCCTCACTTCAAGGGCATCACTCACAGTCATAGCAAGGTGGCCCTGGGGACCAGTTCAAGGCACCTCTGAGTCAGAAAGAGGGTGAGTCTTGGGAGAGGGGCTTCCAACCTGCCTCCGGGTAGGGGCCGCCAACGTGACCAGGGGGTCCTGACCCGGCCAGCCCAGGCCAGCACCAGTTCAGACCACAGCTCCCAACCTGAGCCATCAGCCGGGGGGCAGCTGGGCGCCTCACACCCTCCGCCTGCTTGGCCAGTACAGACACCACTGGCCCCGGGTAGTTATGACGGCTCCCACGGTCGGGGCAGCCCAGGGAGGAGCCCCACTTCCCGTGTGGAAGGCCACTTCCAAGACCTGCTGCCACCGGTCAGGTCGTCACGCCTGCCCGAAGGACCAGCCCCCTCCCACGAGCCTGGTACGTGAGACGGTGGTCTGCTCCTCGGCAGCCCTGTGGCCCTACCCTCCGTCCTCCCAGGCCTGGTCTCCACAGATCTGACAGCCCCTCCGAGCTGGACCCTTCTGGGCACAGAGGGAAGGGAGGGAAGGGCCTCCTGGTTGGCATCTGGGCAGGGAGCAGCCCTGGGTCCCATGGGTGGCTCCCTTCTCCCTCATGTCTGGTTCACGTGGGCTGCCCGCCGCACATTAGCCCAGAGAGGTTTCAGGTCACACAGCCCCTCAGTGGTGGAGCCAAGATTGGAACTCGGGCCTCTTGCCCCCTGCTTCCCATGCTCCCATGTGGCCAGGGGTTTTCCGGGCCAGAGAAGAGCACCCTGCCCGGGGCCCTGCAGGCCTATGCCCCACACTGGCAGGTGGCCATGCTGTGGGCAGGAGCAGGTGCGGGAGCCGAGGGCCAGGAGGGCTGCCTGGCGATCAGCAGCGGCACGGTGAAGCCTCTGACAGTCCTGACCTGCTGGCTGCATGCGCGTGCAGGGTGCGACCCGCAGCACCGGGCTGTGAATGCAGGCAGCCTCGTCCCTGGCTGACCTCTGAGGCTCTCATCAGACCCCCCGGCCTTCCTAGGTGGTGATGAGGCCGGCCTCCCTCCTGGTGTGCTGTAGGCAGAACACAGCCAGGCCTCTGAACGGGCTGCAGTGGGCCGGGCCGGCCCAGGACTGAGTCAGGCCTGGGGCTGTGCTGTGTTGGGGCTGGACTAGGCGGAGCTGGGATGTGCTGGGCTGGGCTGGGCCGTGCTGGGCTGGGCTGGGCTGTGTTGTGTTCTGTCTGGGCTGTGCTGTGCTGTGCTGGGCTGTGTTGTGTTCTGTCTGGGCTGTGCTGGGCTGTGTTGTGTTCTGTCTGGGCTGTGCTGGGCCGGGCTGTGCTGGGCTGTGTTGTGTTCTGTCTGGGCTGTGCTGTGCTGTGCTGGGCTGTGTTGTGTTCTGTCTGGGCTGTGCTGTGCTGTGCTGGGCTGTGTTGTGTTCTGTCTGGGCTGTGCTGTGCTGTGCTGTGCTGTGCTGGGCTGTGCTGGGCTGTGTTGTGTTCTGTCTGGGCTGTGCTGTGCTGTGCTGGGCTGTGTTGTGTTCTGTCTGGGCTGTGCTGGGCTGTGCAGGGCTGTGCTGTGCTGTGCTGTGCTGGGCTGGGCTGTGCTGTGCTGTGCTGGGCTGTGTTGTGCTCTGTCTGGGCTGGGCTGTGCTGTGCTGTGCTGGGCTGTGTTGTGTTCTGTCTGGGCTGTGCTGGGCTGTGCAGGGCTGTGCTGTGCTGTGCTGTGCTGGGCTGGGCTGTGCTGGGCAGGGCTGTACTGTACTGTGCTGTGCTGTGCTGTGCTGGGCTGGGCAGGGCTGTACTGTACTGTGCTGTGCTGGGCTGGGCTGTGCTGTGCTGGGCTGGGCTGTGTTGTGCTGGGCAGGGCTGGGCAGGGCTGTACTGTACTGTGCTGTGCTGTGCTGGGCTGTGCTGGGCTGGGCTGGGCTGTGCTGTGCTGGGCAGGGCTGGGCAGGGCTGTACTGTACTGTGCTGTGCTGTGCTGTGCTGGGCTGGGCTGGGCTGGGCTGTACTGTACTGTGCTGTGCTGTGCTGTGCTGTGCTGTGCTGTGCTGGGCTGTGCTGTGCTGGGCAGGGCTGGGCAGGGCTGTGCTGTGCTGTGCTGTGCTGTGCTGTGCTGTACTGTGCTGTGCTGTGCTGTGCTGTGCTGTGCTGGGCTGTGCTGTGCTGGGCAGGGCTGGGCAGGGCTGTGCTGTGCTGTGCTGTGCTGTGCTGGGCTGTGCTGTGCTGGGCTGTGCTGGGCTGGGCTGGGCAGGGCTGGGCTGGGCTGTGCTGGGCTGTGCTGGGCTGTGCTGGGCTGTGCTGGGCTGTGCTGGGCTGGGCTGGGCTGGGCTGGGCTGTGTTGTGCTGTGCTGTGCTGGGCTGTACTGGGCTGTGCTGGGCTGGGTTGTGCTGTGCTGTGCTGTGCTGTGCTGTGCTGTGCTGTGTTGTGCTATGCTGGGCTGTGCTGGGCTGTGCTGGGCTGTGCTGGGCTGTGCTGGGCTGTGCTGTGCTGGGCTGTGCTGGGCTGTGCTGGGCTGGGCTGTGCTGGGCAGGGCTGTGCTGTGCTGTGCTGTGCTGGGCTATACTGGGCTGGGCTGGGGCTATGTGTCTGGACTCAGCCCTCCATGTCCTTTATCTCGTGCTGCCCAGTGGGCCATGGTACTGACCCAAATGGGCATCAGCCCTGGCAGAGGTGTAAGGTCAATGCCAAGGCCTTCCTCCAGGCAGGCTGAGGCCAGAGCTGAAGTCAGCTTGGGCCAGGACCTATGCTGAGGGTCCTGGACATCAGTCCTCCTGCAATACCCTCCCCCGTGGCCAAGGAGACATAAGAGCTGCGCCCTCAGGGGCACCTGCTGGGCAGAGGGGTGAGGTCCGAGGGCTGTGCAGAGAGGAGCCGTGCTCTGGAGAAGGAGCACCTCTGCTCCAGCTCAGAGTCCTGGCAAGTCCGAAGTGAGCAGCCCACCGTAGCGACAGGAGTCTGGGAGGCAGGGCTGGCACGGGCCTCCGGTGCAGGCCTCTCGTGCCAGCTGAGGAGCTGGCAGAGGGGAGCCGCTGGAGGTTCTGAGTGGGAAGCAATGGCATTGGTGTATTCGGCAGGTCCCTGCTGCTGCAGAGGTGCCCAAGGGCTGCTGGGGGGAGGGACACCACAATGCTGATGCCCCCGGCATGCTCACTCTGTGCCTAGCACTGAGCCCCACGGAGTCCTAGGCACCTAGACGGTAAAAACAGCCCTCTAGCCCTGGCTGGTATGGCTCAGTGGTAAGATCATCGCCTGAGGACCAACGGGTCCCGGGTTCGATTCCAGCCAGGGGCATGTGCTTCAGTTGCAGTTCGTCCCTGGCCGCGGTTGGGGTCGTGTGGGTGGCAACCGAGTGATGTGTCTTTCACATCGATGTTTCTCTCTCTCTCTGTCTTCCTCCTTCTCTCCCTCTAGCTCTGTCTGAAGATTAATGTAAGAATATCCACACCCTGGCTGGTTTGGTTCAGCAGTTGGAGCGTCGGCCTGCGGTCCAGAGAGACCCGGGTTTGGTTCCCGCTAAGGGCACGTACTTTGGTTGCAGTTTGTATCTGGCTCCGGTTGGGGTTGTGTGGGTGGCAGCCACTCGATGTTTCTCTCTCTCTCTCTTCCTCCCTCTCTCCCTCCTGCTCTATCTGAAGATAAATGCAAAAATGTCCTTGGGTGAGGATAAAAACAAAAACAAAAACAGCCCTCCACTTACCCACATGGCAGACTGCTGAGTGCCTGTTGTGTGCCCGGCGCTGGGCTGGTGCCAGGGGTGGTGGTGTGAGACAGACAGCAGTCAGGAAGGTAAAAGGTGGCCATAAGGGCCAGGAAGATGGAGAGGTTGCG